CACACAGACACAAACACAGTGTTGTCGGGTTTCAGAATACAGGAGTGTAGCATCCTGGAGTCGATCCAAACTGAGATTCTATCTGAGAGATCAAACTGATATATCTGAGCGTGTGTGTGTGTGTGTGTGTGTGTGTCTAATTTCAGGTTAATCAGCTCTGATCTAATCTGGAACATGAAGGTGATAATTAGTTCGTCTCCGTTCAGGCTCCTGCTGCCTTCGTGGCCTTTAACTGAAGGATCACAAGCGTCTCCGTCGACATGTTTTATGCTTTAATTTGAGGTTTGCAGCTTTTTCGAGGCTCCTCGTTCACGTCAGGGAGAAGTCGAGGATCTTAAACCTGCAGCAGGTGAAATGATGTCAACAGTTAAACAGTCTGACGCTGGCTCATCGAGTCACTCATCAGGTTCTTGTTCTTGACTTCTCACCTCGACTTTATTCAGACGCTGCCCCTCTGTTGGTGTCTGGGCTCACCTGTAAACACCTGCTGACGTCAGAGCAGAATACGGCTCCTACTGGGCATGCTCAGAAGGTTCCAGAGCAGGAGAGCGCAGCAGAAACGTGGAACTTTTTTCATTTCCTCCCACTTTAGTTGTAAAAACAACAGAACTGTTTAAAAACATGAGAATCACGTTCAGTGTTCAAAACCTGTGAAACAATAAATACGTGGATACCAGCGACACAAGCAGCTGATTCAAACACACACGCAGGCCTGACCTGCTTCATTTTGTTTACATTTAAAATGTAAATCAATATTTTTTTCTGTGATTTAACTAGTTGTTATTTATAATTTAACAAAACAGAGAAATGACAGTAAATAGTTTATAACTCATATAAAACGTTTTTTAAACGGGTTTAATTTCAGGTGAGCTTGTTGTCATCGTGTGTTTCTGCTGATCAGACGGCTTCCAACACTCTGGGATGGTGTCGCCTCTCAACTGGTCTGATGAACAATTTATGACGTGTGCGCACACACACACACACACACACACACACACACACACACACAGAGCGATGACAGTAAAGAGGTTGTAAATTAGCTTCTTCTTCTCTGTTGTCTTTTTTGGCAGCAGCTTGCTGTTTTGTTGCCTGAAGGTCAAACTGAAGACGAGGCATAACGTGTACATGTACCATATACAGCACATAGGTGTCGTACGTGTACTGTATGTATGCAGACACACAGAACGTGACACTGAACTGATCCAACTGGTGTAGAACAGACTGAACCAGAACCGACACGCTTGCTTTTATCAGCTCCTCTAAATGTGTGATTTCTCAGTAAAACGTTTGGAGTGAATCTGAATTAACTCCAGCCGGTGAATGGTCCGTACATTACCAGAACTCTTCCACCAACAGTGTCAAAACCTCTGCGAGACACAAACAAACGGGTTCTTTGTGTTTCCCAGCCATCAGGCGACTGGACCGGCGCTGGTGTTTTTCCACGGAGCCTCTAAAAGGCAGCAGATGATCCGTCGCTTCGCTCAGCCTCTGAACCAGCAGCGTCGCTCTTTGTTTCTGATAGTTCATAATTATCTCTCATCCGTTCTTCTCACGTTTCTCTCGTTCCTCTTTTGTTCTGGTTTTAATCTGTTTTCTTCTGTTCCCCTCTGAACTTCTTCTATTGTTGACCTCCTGATGATGACGTAACTCTCATTATTAGTTCCTATCGGAGCTGAGTGTTGGAGGTGAAAGATGCTGGTTTCATGAGAAGCTCACTCCTCAGTGCTGAACACCAGAGTTCCTTTAAATCCTCTTTAACTGATGAATACATGATAAAAACAAACCCGTCCGTCCTTAATGCAGCGCTTCACGGTGTGGAGGTCCAGTTCAGCCGTTTCCAGGTGAAACAGGCTTGGTTCTGTTGTCTGAAGCATGAACGGGATCTTTGTTGTGAGTCGATGGTTTCCATGGAAACAGAGAATAAATTAAACTTTAAACTTTACCGATTCTGTCAACATTTAATTCCCGTTTTCCAAACTTATACGAGACCAAAAAATACTAAGAAAACAAAACATGATATTATTGATTCAGTGAGTTCAGGTAGCAGCGACTATGAATGAAGCCACACGTTCATGAAGTCCACTGCAGTTGGCGGGAGGAGGTCGGGGCGGGAGGAGGGCCTGTAAAACTACCCACATGGCCTGCTGTCGGTGGTTCAGCTCAGCAGCAAACGTACTTTAGAGATGATAAAGACGATAGTTTTAATTCAGCCAATCAGAGCAGCCTGGACGTGGCCTTGAGAGGCTGCAGCAGGACGCCGCCCGTCAGACACCGACTCCTTCTGAAGCACGACTCTTTTAAAGACAGCTTTTTGTCAAACTGTGAAACAGCAACTGAACAATAAATTTGCTGTAAATAATAAACACAGTGATTCTAGAAACTGGGTAGAGATCCGAGTCGGGTTCAGCCCAACTGTTTCAGTAGGTTTAAGGAAACAGAACCGAGATTTAGCAAAGCGATGAGGGGAAACGGAACAAACCAAACGTTTTCTCAACTGCGTTAGTTTGTTGTTGACGGAACATTAACGAAGTTTGAAGTGATGAAGCGTTACAGCAGGATGGACCTGATGAGAACCCGTCCGTTAGCTGACAGTCACGACGCTCAGAGAGAAGTAACCCGACCCGTTTGTGTCTCTGTGGAGGGAATGTGTTCGTCTGAACCACCTGCAGAGGACACAAAACGTATACTTTAAGAGAAAACCTGTTTTTGTGTCTGTCTTGGTAAATGTACTTTCTATGTGTTAAATTACATCCGTGATGACGGTCTGTCTCCGTGTCTTTGTCTCTGCCAAACTAACAACAGTCATAATGGCTCCCAGCACAAAGCTAACTGCACATTTCTGCACTCAGGGGTCCCATAAAGTGGCGCTTTTACCTGCCAGAGTTCAGTTAAAGAGCTGCTGCCACTGAGGAGGAGAGTCTGCGCTCAAACCTTTTGTACAAACACATAGAGATGGAAATGAGCTGCAGGGACCCATGCAGGGTCCATCAGCAGCCGCTCTGTTCACTCTCTGCTGCAGAAAAACAGCTAACTGAGCCTGAAATCTTTCCCTGCATGAAGCCCGAACACAACAAACCAAAGTCTGGACACGAAGCGCAGCTTTGCTTCAGCCGGAGTTTAAATCATTTGTGTTTGCAGCAGAACCCTGAAGCGGTTCTGTGTCGCTGAACGTTCACGCTACGGGTCGGTTCTTCTAGTCAGAACTATTAAAGACGTCTGTCCGGTTTGAACAAACTTCACTGGAAGCAAAGCTCTGTACTGATCAGTTAAACTGTAAAAATACATCCAAAACTATCAAATCCAGGATGTCAGAAAACTTTCAGTAAAAACCTGCAGAACACGTTTAGAAGCTGAAAAAAGCTGCAGACGTCTGAGAAACGACGCTGATGTTCCCTCAGACGTAGGAAAAGTTTAACTCATCTGATTATTATCTAATTGTCAGTAATATTATGACATTATTTAACCACATTTATTGGTCATTTTATAGTTTTAACACTTTAATTGTCCTCCATTAAAACAGCGTTAGAGTCAAAGCCAGAAAACAAATTTTATTGTGAAAATAACGTTGACGTTTACGTTATTTCTGAATTTAGTGTTTTTAGGGTTTTTGTTTCTTTTTAAACAGTTTCATCATTAATTGATTGAACTGAGGTTCAAATTAAACCTGATTTAAACCTGGTTTTACAGTTTGGTAAACCATCGAGTTCAGTGTCAGACATGTTGCCGTGACGACGACTGTCTGAGCTGCTGATTGGTTCAAACATCAGTCTGCTCTGATTGATGGTTCACTCGTATAAATGGAGTCGGAGGTGTGAGACCTGCAGCCTATTATGGTCTGTCCTGCTGCTGCTCAGCGACGGCGCTCTCAGCTGCTCGGCGTCTCCAGGAGGTTTGTGTTGGTGAGAAGCTGCAGCTCTGGAGGAAGAACTCTGCACCTGCTCTGAGTGGAGCAGCTTGTTAACACGATAATAGGAGAATCACAGCAGACGCGTCAACACGATTAGCAGCAACAAGCTAATTCAGAGTTCTGATAACAGCATCACAGACTGAAATGAACCACAGCAGAACACACACACACACTGTCATCACACATCACACTTGTACATCACACTCTATACGGCGACGTTACAACGGGAAGGATGCTCAGCTGAACAGCACCAGGAACTGAACCAACATCAGCTGGATGTAAACGCTCTAATATGATTCCTGGACAGAACTGGAGTCATCATGTCTGATGTCAGAACAGCACCAGCCAAAGTGTGACAGATTCAATCATCTCATTCTGTTTGTTGATGACTAACTGTAGCGCTCACTGTCGTTGAAGCTCTGACGGCCTCACAGTGGATCCAGTAGAGTGACTGGTATGGGCTTCAGGTCACCTTCTGCTGCACGACACTCTAAAACACACGTTCACATCAAACCAGTTTCAGCTCTTTGTATTTCAGCTATTTCTAGATTTATTTTCTGTATTACTTTATTTTTGGCATATTTTTTTTGACATATTTTGATGTTTTGGATATTTCAAATTATTTTTTGATGAACATGATTTATATTTTTGATAAACTTTTAGAGTACATATACATTTTATACATTTTAAAAACGATACTGTACATTTTGTATTTGTTCTCCTTGTTCATTGATGAAACCAGTTCAACCGTCTCCAGACTCGTTTTAAACTCTGAACCTCTGCTGGTTGAATGGGACCGGTGATGTCATCAGTGAGTTATTATGACATCGTGGCCGGTGACATCATCTCTAGGTTATTGTTATGACGTCGTGGCCAGTGACATCATCAGTGGGTTATTATGACGTCGTGGCCGGTGACATCATCACTGGGTTATTATGACGTCGTGGCCGGTGACATCATCACTGGGTTATTATTATTATGACGTCATGGCCGGTGACATCATCACTGGGTTATTATGACGTCGTGGCCGGTGACATCATCACTGGGTTATTATTATGACGTCGTGGCCGGTGACATCACTCACGCTGACACCACGTCCTCCCCCATTGATCGCTCTGTCCTGCAGCTGCATGATTAATGTGGTGTTTATTGATTGATCTGCTGCTTTACATGATGGATATTGACAGAACCTCTGACAGAACCTCACAGTAACTCTGCTCTCCTTCTTCTTCTTCTTCTTCTTCTTCTTCTTCTTCTTCTTCTTCTTCTTCTTCTTCTTCTCACTGTGTTCTTTCAGAAAATCCTTTCGGAGCATTCAGGACCCAGTTCTTCCCAACAGAACCGTGCTTCCAGCGGTAACGTTCTGCCATCCGGAGGTCGGGCCGGTTCCGTGGAGAACCCTCGCTCGGCTCTGTCTCCGCTGACCAACTCTCTGCTGGAGCAGCTGGAGGCCCGGATCAAGGAGCTGAAGGCCTGGCTGAGGGACACCGAGCTGCTCATCTTCAACTCCTGCCTGAGACACGACAGAGACGAGGCCGAGCAGCTGCACAGCTTCAAGGTAGGTTCTGATGATGGTTCGGTCTGGGGTGGAACATCACAGTCAGGAGTTCTGTGCAGCAGGTACCCGTCTCCATGGAGATGTGACAGTGAAGGTTCATCACACATGACGTGGTGTCGAGGCCCGCCAGAGCTGCTCCGTCTTCCTACGGCTGCAGCAGCTTCATCCAGTAGCGGGTCGTGTAACAGGTCGTCCCCTCTAACGGGTCGTACCCTCTAGCGGGTTGTATAATGGGTAGTACCCTCTAACAGGAAGTACCCTCTAACGGGTCGTACCCTCTAATGGGTCGTATAACGGGTCATACCCTCTAACGGGTCGTATGAGGATGAAGCTGCAGCAACCATGTTTGTGATAGATGCAGGTTTCATCCTGGATGGGTCACCGGTCCATCACAGCGCTGCTAGAAACTAGCACTGTCACATGTCTACCTCCTTAGTCAGAACCCAGAACTCTCTACGCTGCTGGTTCATGGTCCACCTCCATCAGACCCACTGATCCCTGATGTTGAACCGTTCAGTGGGTCCAGACAGCAGACGTTGGACCCTCAGAACTTCTGTCTTCAGCTGGTCACAGGCTTCAGCTTTGTCTCCTCAAAGATAAACTGGCCTCAGGCTCCACTAAAAACTGACACCAGATCAGTTCTACATCCATTCAGGTGTCTCAGTCTGAACACTGGACCTGGTTCTGTTTATGTCCTCTGTCAGCAGCTGTAGCATCAGTATTATGGGATGTCTCATAGTGGTACCAGGTTCATGTCTATGACACAGAGTCATAGAAACAATCATTGGTACCCTGGCTGTGGTTCTGGTTCTGATCATTCACCAGATGAACCTTTACATAGTGCGTTCTGGGTAAACATTCCAGGCTCCTATCAGCATGTGTGATGGTGGTTGGTCAGAACCAGTTCTAGACAATGGAAGGACTGTTTTACCTCCAGAACCTACCAGAACCATCTGCAGACAGGAGGACACCTGGATGGATGTAGAACTGATGTTAGGAGATGTTTGTTAAAACGTGCTGCAGATGACTGACCTTCTAAAAACTACTGACGTGTGTTTGTGATGAAGGATTCAGAAACTTTGACCATCAGCAGCAAACATGAAACACACCTGTGAGTGTGTAGGTTCTACCTGTAGACGAGTGTGTAGGTTCT